AAAAATAAAATGATATTAAATTCTAGATTTTTATCATATATAGGATGACAAAGTTATAGGTCAAGAAATTAGCAAGTGACCATGAGAAGAAAAGTTTAATAGAGAGGGGTGGGAAATAAATGAAAGACATATGACATGGAGGAGGAAATGAGGGGAATAAAGAGATCAGCAATGCTATACAAGAAAGGGAACAGGGAGGAAAATGAACAAAATGAGCTGTATGAGGATGACATAATGAAGACTCTTACTTGGTATGCTAATTAAAACAAAATAATGAGCAAATCTAATTGAGTCCATTGACTTGCAAAACAACTGGAAAACCCAAAATATAAAGAAGACCAATTAGTAAAATTAATGTGATTATTGGAATTAGAAGGGCAATTAAGAATACTAGCCTTAATATGGTTAATTAATATGGTTAATATTATACATCTATTATTATATATGTAACAATAATTTTTAAAACACTAAATGATATATAGTTCAATTTCAAAACTTAAAACAAGCATAAAAATATATTATGCATGCATATGAATATTGCATTATGAAAGGTTATTGCTAGATAAAATTAATTATGATCATAACAACAAACTTTAAAAGACAGATGGAATGAACCCATGTAAATAGAGGCAGAAAATATAATTAAGCAAAAATATTTGAGTCCAGAGTGAGGTCATAGACTAAAGATGGTAACATAGAAATAAAGAGAGAGAAGGAGAGGAAGAGAGGAGAAAAGAAAGGGAGAAATAGAGAGAGGGAGGTGGTAAGAGGCAGAGAGAGATCAAAGAAATAGAAGTAGGCAGAGGAACACTGAGGAGTGAATGAACACTGGTAACTAACTGTCTCTTCCTCTTTTCTTCCAGGTTTATACAAGAAACCTTTTCTGTCAGCCCTAATGGGTCCTGTGGTGATGTCAGGAGAGAACATGACCTTGTCCTGTGTCTCTGATCTTCAGTTTGACATGTTCCATCTGTCCAGGGAAGGGGTACCCAATGAACAAGGGCTGCCTTCAGTGAAGAGCCACAATGGAACATTCCAAGTCAACTTCCATCTTGGTCCTGTGGTCCAGGCAGGGTACTATAGATGCTATGGCTCATTCAGGAACTCTTCCTATTTGTGGTCAACCCCAAGTGACCCCTTGTACCTTCCTGTCACAGGTAAGAGAACTTCATATATATCTCATACCATGTGACTAATGAAATCCTGAAGCCATGTCTCAGAATCCTCCAATCGATGATAGAGAGAAAGTAGCATTGGGAGCTACAGAGAAGGATTGCTGTGAGTGCTAATGTCATGCGTG